TACCTACAAGCTGGTTTCCAGGAAGACCTAAAACTATCACACTGCTACAGACTCATTTTAGGCAGCCAATTGCTCAGTTATTTCACTTATATACTAGAAACGTGGGTGAATTTTTATAGCTCACTGTAAAAATATTCCCAAGCCAGTATGTAGAAACAGTGCAGAGTATCCTCGCTGGTAGTAGATGGTGCTGATATGTTGTGCTTGGTACATCCTTGAAAGCCAGGATGCAGGTTCTCAATCCCATAGTAACTTATTTTTTTCTCATCCATTATCCTTGAGGTTGCGGCGGCAGGAGTTCAGAAACAACGCACAGACAATCAATATGATCAAATGATGTTCAGTTTATTATTTAAATGGCTTAGTTTTTATACAGTCAGCTCCTTCCGGGTACGTGATTACAACAAAGCAATTGGATAGCTCAGTCTGTGCATGCGCTTCATGCCTTTAGCTCATTGGTCCCGATGCTCTGTCGACGCCTCCTGATGTCATTCGCGCCGCCCAAAGTCCCTCCTACCGATCCTCCTCAGGGACTTTCCAGGGGACTTTCCAGCTTTCTCTTTATCGGTCACGTACACACAGTTTCACATAACTTGCAACTATAAACACAGTTTCACACAACTTGCAACTATAAACTATTCTTTTAATAACCTCCAAAGTTATGTCAAATGAGGCCTACTGCTCCTCAGAGCTGGTCGTATGGATTGTTCACAAAGTTTCCATTGTCCTGTAAATACTCCACATGAGGTCTTTTCATTGTAATTTGTTATCATCATCAGGATTCATCAAGATAAAATACCAGTTTATAGTTTGAAGGTGAGATTTGGGCATCAATAATGAGCCTCACACTATCAGAGAATTAAGCACTGATTGATATAACACATTTCAGGAAAAGTTGGATTCATCACATCCAGACTGCTAAATAAACACCACTAATACTTGTAGGGCCCAGGTATCTCAGGACACCATAATGATTGCTGACAAGAGGTGATGCTAGCTTACACCTAGTTCTAGCAAGTAGGAAGATCACAAGACCTGGTCATAGAAAATTGTCTTAAAGTGTCCTGGTTCCGGCCAGGACAGAGTTAAGTTTTTGCAGTAGCGATGAGCAGGCAGAGCCTGGAGCAATGTAGGCATGGCTAGGAGGTTATTCTATACCACCTCATAGTCATTGCTGGGGGGGAAGGGACTCTCTGGCTTCCAAGAAGGGCAGGGCTTCTGGTGGAGAAAACGTGCTGGAAGGGGGGAAGCCATTCACCATTGTTCATTGTCGCCCAGAGTCCACAGTGAGCATTTTTTGCATGTGAGTCACTCTCTCTTTTGTATACTTTTGTTATTAATATTGTTGCTGTTATAGCGTGCAGGACTTTCACTCCTGCGACCACGGGTTCGATTCCCCGGTCTCCTGGCCTGTTGGAGGTCGTTAGCCATATATTATTTCCAAAGGGCTCACTCCTTCTTCTACTCTGGGTAATATGAATTCTCATAAGAGCCAAAGGTAATGCCTCCATCCATTTCAACTGAACCTCTTGGCATAACTTTGATATTTGCCTCTTTATTGTCTGATTCATTCTTTCTACCTTTCCGCTAGGCTGTGGTCTCTATGGGGTGTGTAATTCCCAATTAATCTATAAAAACTTAGACACTTCCTGCACTATTTCTGCTATAAAGTGGGGTCCATTATATGAAGAAATTCCTTCTGGTATGCCAAATCTGAGTATTATCTCTTTTAACAAAACTTTAATTACTTCTCAACTCTTGTTGGTATGAGAGAGGAAAGCCTCTGACCAACCAGAAAAGGTATCTACTAATACTAATAAATCTTTTTATTGATTGCATCTTGGTAATTCTGTAAAATCTATTTGCCAGTGTTCCCTGGGTGTTATTTCTTGCTTTACACTTCCTCCCTATATTTTCTTTCCTATTTTTGCATTATTAGCATAGAAAATTACACAGTTTTTAGCTACTATGTCTGCAAAACTTTGCATCTTGGGTTCAAAGAAATTCTTTTTTGCTAAAAGCATCAATGCATCTGCTCCTGTATGTGTCTCTTGATGCATCCTTTTGAGTAGGGTTTCCATCACCTTCTCAGGGACCAATAACTCCTTTTCAGGTGTTTCCAGCCATCCTTCTTTATTTTTTAGTACAGTCCTACTGTTCTGCTAATTGGTCCTCTTATTTTGTATAATTTGGCAGAGATAAATCTATATAGGTTCTTGGAATCACCACCTTCAAAACTTAGTTTCTTCAACACAGCTTCTTTTGCTGTTTGATCTGCCCTTCTGTTTCCCTTTATAATGTCAGTATTCCCTTTCTGGTGTGCTTTGCAATGTATTATTGTGACTTTCTTTGGTTGAAGGACTGCTTGCAGTAGCTTCATAATTTCAGTTACATATTTCACTGGGCTCACCCGTGAGTTCAATAGTGTGAGATCCTGGATCCGAATCTCACTGAATTATTGATATGGGTCGGAACCAACTCACTGTGAGTGTGCGCATGCATGTGGGGAAGGGCCGGGCCTAGACCTGCAGGTACATGGCAAGGCCTGCACATAAGACCTGTGCTGAGGGCACATGGCAGAGCCTGAAGGTCTGCTGCCCATGCAGAGCACATGGCAGATCTGAAGGCTCTGCAGCCAGTTGTTGGTCAAGGCAGACCTGCCTGGTAGCCCGCCCACACTACGCCCCTGCAGCCTGTGACTGGCTACAACACAACTCACTCTGACCTGGAAGGCCCTGACTGGATATCCTGCCTGGGAGGGAAAACTGAACTCTATATATACATGAGACTCCATGCAGTCTCCCTCTTCTCTCTCTCTCTTCTCCCTCTCCAGCCGGCACCATGTGAATCATCGAATCTCGTCGGTAACTATTCTCCTCTCCTTTCTCTCTCTCCTTTCTCTCTCTCCTTCTCGCTTTCTTTACCCCTTTTAATCTGTTTTCTTTTACTCTTTTCCTTCTCTTCTGGGTAACTTAAAACCAATGAACTGTGTTTTACTAAAGCTGGTATATTGATTGTTTTAGTGGGTGTTTCCTGTGGAATGGGTCTTTGTGATGAATGTTTTAGTGAAATGCTTTTTTTCTTGGTTGTATTTTACTCCTGTAAAAACCTTTGCCAAAATATCTTATTTTTCTCACTAAATTAAAAAGAATTTCTCTTAGAGAAGAGTGTGTGACTCTTTCTCCAGATGCTAATTAGAGGTTATAACAAACCAAAAGGCTTTTAAAAAGTCTTAAATAAAAAATGTAACCGCTCTGGGCAGTTTATAGCTTAATCCGGAACGCAACAAATAGTCCTTGTTCATTCCAAATTGCTGCACGTGTATGGACTATGCCAAAGGCATATTTTGAGTCAGTATATATATTGATCTTCTTTCCTTGGCTTTATTCCAGGACCTGAGTGAGAGCTACCAGTTCGACTTTCTGGGCAGAGGTGTTGCCGGGCAGGGGTTCACTTTGCAATACCTCTGCGATAGTTACCACTACGTAACCAGTTTTCCATTGTCCATTTAACACATAAGTGCTCCTGTCAGAAAAGAGCTCTCCATCTCTGCCTCAGGGAGCAACTTGTCTCGGAGATCCAGCCTACTGGAATAAATTTGTTCAATAGCTATCAAACAGTCATGATGCAGTTCTCGTGTCTCTGAGACCAGAAGTGACTTGGTTAAGAGTGGAGGTTTGAGAGAGGGTCACATAATCTTCTTCTAACAACACTACTTGGTATTGAGCTAATTGACTTGGGGACATCCAATAGTGTCCCTTATTCTCAAGAAGAAAGATCACATACACAGTGAGGGGTTGGCCCAAGGTAATTTTCCAAGATTCTTCAATCAGATTACAATTGCAGCTTCCGCTTTCAAACAAGCAGGCTATCTTGTGACAGGATTCAAATTGTGTGAACAATTTCTATTGCATTTCTGTAGGCCTTGCTTGACATGACTTTAGAAGTTGTAAGTTGTAATGTTTATACTTATAGACTGTGTGAAAATATGTAATGTTTATACTTGTTAGCTGTGTGTCTAATTATAAGGTTTGAGAACATAGTATGTTTATAGCAAGAAAGCCTTGAGAAAGTATAGATAAAAGTACACCTGCAGATTTCAGAAAGCCCCTAATTATGAAAGCCTCTACATGCCAAGTATGATTTCAAGCCGCGTGGACAGAACATCAGGTCCAATGAACTGGAGACATGAGACGCGTGTACAGACTGAGCTATCCAATCACCTAGTTGTAAGCATGTGCCCAAAACAAACTAAACTGCATAAAAGTTGACTTATTTAAATAATAAATGAAGCTTGTTGATTCTCGTATCGAGGGTCTCTTTCTTCCCTCGTCGCGACAAATGGCGCATCGAACAGGGATTAAGTTAAATCTGCGATCCCAGGGATTAAGTTGAATCTGTGATCCCAGGGGCTAAGTTGAATCTGCAGCCCCCGAAGCCACAGTCCGGCGTAGTATTCCGGTCGGTCTTGCAGCAGCACAAGAGGTGAAAAGAGTTGGGCGAAAGAGTTGAACTCCGCGCCCCCGGCGGCGAAAGAGTTGGACTCTGCGCCCCCGGCGACGAAAGAGTTGGACTCTGGGCCCAGGACGACCTCACAGGAGGGTTCCTGCCGACAAACACCGTTGAAGTCTTGTAAAGGGCTGCAAACAGCACGCTGACGTATTATAGGTATGGAAAGACAAGCCGTGCTTTTATTACTCCAGTGCTTTTTAGAAAAGCGAGGAGTTCAGGGTATAGACTTAAAAAAGGAACTAGCGACGGGGGCAAGCCGAGGAGCCGTGCGCGGCCGGGGTGAAGGAGGAGGCGGCGGGCGCCGGCGCTGGCATGAGCGAGGCGGGCAGCGGCGAGCAAGAGGCGGTCCCCGCGGAGGAGCCAGCGCGGCAGGAGCCCCCCCGCCGAGAGCAGTCCCGAGGGACCCGCCGCCGAGTCGGCGGAGTAGTAAGCACCACCGAACGATACGGATCAGAACTTTTTGACCCTCATTAGGTAAGCTAACGGGGGTGCCACTGGGAACAATATTTTAACAATGGGACAGCATATAACGAAGGAGGAAAGTGTAGTTCTATCTACGTAGAAATCCCTCCTTAACCGAAAGAATGTGAAGGTCACATACCATAGAGGCTTCACCCGCTTGGCCTGCTTGATGGCAGCACATGTCTCACAGTCATGGATGACCTGTGAGACAACGTCCTTGGTTAAGTCCACCCCTCGGTCCTGAGCCCATCTGTATGTTGCATCTCTCCCCTGGTGACCGGAGGCGTCATGGGCCCATCGAGTCAGAAATAATTCTCCTTTGTGTTGCCAATCCAGATCCACCTGAGAGACTTTAATCCTGGCAGCTCGGTCCGCCTGCTCGTTGTTGCGATGCTCCTCATTAGCCCGTTTCTTGCGTACGTGAGCGTCTACGTGACCGACCTTCACACTCAGCTTCTCTACCCGGCCAGCGATGTCCTGCCACATCTCCGCCGCCCAGATGGGTTTCCCTTGGCACTGCCAGTTGGCCTTTTTCCATCGCTCTAGCCATCCCCACAGAGCATTGGCCACCATCCATGAGTCAGTGTAGATATAGAGTCTTGGCCACTTCTCTCGTTCAGCTATATCCAAAGCCATCTGAACGGCTTTAAGCTCTGCGAACTGACTTGACCCACCTTGTCCTTCGGTTGCTTCTGCAACTCGCCGTGTGGGACTCCACAAAGCTGCCTTCCATTTTCGGTTTGTCCCTACAATGCGGCAGGAGCCATCAGTGAAGAGCGCATATCGCCTTTCATCTGCTGGTAGCTTGTCATATGGTGGGGCCTCCTCAGCCCGCGTCACCTGCTCCTCTTCTTCTTCAGAGGATAGTCCGAAACTCTCACCTTCGGGCCAATTGGTGATAATTTCCAGAATCCCAGGGCGATTAGGATTCCCTATCCGGGTTCGTTGTGTGATCAGAGCGATCCACTTACTCCATGTGGCATCGGTGGCGTGATGTGTAGCAGGAACTCTCCCCTTGAACATCCAGCCCAGCACTGGTAGTCGGGGTGCCAGGAGGAGCTGCGCTTCGGTGCCGATCACTTCTGAGGCAGCTCGAAGTCCTTCATAAGCAGCCAGGATCTCTTTCTCAGTTGGTGTATAGCTGGCTTCAGATCCTTTGTATCCCCGACTCCAGAATCCCAGCGGTCGTCCTCGGGTCTCCCCAGGCACTTTCTGCCAGAGGCTCCAAGAAGGGCCATTCTTCCCGGCTGCAGTGTAGAGCACGTTCTTCACGTCCTGTCCTGTCCTTACTGGCCCAAGGGCTACCGCATGGGCAATCTCCTGTTTGATTTGTTCAAAGGCCTGTTGTTGTTCAGGGCCCCACTGGAAATCATTTTTCTTCCGTGTCACAAGGTAGAGAGGGCTTACAATTTGACTGTACTCGGGGATATGCATCCTCCAAAAGCCCACAGCGCCTAGGAAAGCCTGTGTTTCCTTCTTGCTGGTTGGTGGGGACATGGCTGCTATTTTGTTAATTACCTCCGTTGGAATTAGGCGACGTCCATCTTGCCACTTCACTCCTAAGAACTGAATTTCCTGAGCAGGTCCCTTGACCTTACTTCGTTTAATGGCAAAACCAGCTCTTAGGAGGATCTGGATTATCTTCTCTCCTTTCTCGAAGACTTCCCCCGCTGTGTTCCCCCATACAATGATGTCATCAATGTACTGTAGATGTTCTGGAGCCTCGCCCTTTTCCAGTGCAGTCTGGATCAGTCCATGGCAAATGCTGGGACTGTGTTTCCACCCCTGAGGCAGTCGATTCCAGGTGTACTGCACACCTCTCCAAGTGAAAGCAAATTGTGGCCTGCACTCCGCTGCCAAAGGAATGGAGAAGAAGACGTTGGCAATGTCAATGGTGGCATACCACTTGGCTGCCTTGGACTCCAGCTCGTACTGGAGCTCCAGCATGTCCGGCACAGCAGCACTCAGGGGTGGTGTGACTTCATTGAGTCCACGGTAATCCACCGTCAGCCTCCACTCTCCGCTGGACTTACGCACTGGCCATATAGGGCTATTAAAGGGTGAGCGAGTCTTGCTGACCACCCCCTGGGTCTCCAGTTCACGGATCATCTTATGTATGGGAGTCACAGAGTCTCGGTCGGTGCGGTATTGCCGACGGTGCACGGTTGCTGTGGCTATCGGTACCAACTGTTCTTCAACCTTCAGCAGTCCCACAGCAGAGGGGTCCTCTGAGAGCCCAGGCAAGGTGTTCAACTGTCTAATTTCCTCTGCCTCCACAGTAGCTATGCCAAACGCCCAACGAAGTCCTTTTGGGTCTTTGAAATACCCACTCCTCAGGTAATCTATGCCAAGGATACACGGGGCCTCTGGACCAGTCACGATGGGGTGTCTGTGCCATTCCTTTCCAGTCAGGCTCACTTCAGCTTCCAGTACAGTCAGCTGTTGGGATCCCCCTGTCACCCCAGAAATAGAGATGGATTCTGCCCCTATGTATCTTGATGGCATCAAAGTACATTGTGCGCCGGTGTCAACTAAAGCCTTATATCTTTGTGGCTCTGATGTGCCAGGCCACCGAATCCACACTGTCCAATAGACTCGATTGTCCCTCTCCTCTACCTGGCTAGAGGCAGGGCACCCCTAGTCCTGGTCATGGTACTCGTTGCGCTCTTCTTGTAAGTATGACCTGGAAGTCCCTTCAAGAGGATCAGACATGTCATCATTCCTGGGCCGTCTGGAGTCTTGCCTACGAGAGACTGGAGCAGCATTCATCCTCAAAGAGTTCCTTGTAGTACTTGTCCCTCTTTTCAATTCACGTACCCGGGCTGCTAAGGAAGAGGTGGGTTTTCCATCCCACTTCCTCATATCTTCTCCGTGCTCTTGGAGGTAAAACCATAGATTGCCACGTGGAGTGTACCCTCTCTCCTTAGCTGGGGGACGCTGGCTCCTGATAGCAGAGACCCTTGTTTGTCCTGGCGAGGTATGGAAGATCCCTTCCTTAATTTCTTCTCTTAGCCTCTGGTGTCCTTCTTCAATCTTCTCTTCCAGGCTTCGAACATGTTCAGCCAGTTTGGTTTCCACCGATGAGACGTGGGCTCGTAATGGGGCGGTGACAGTGTCTTCATAAATCCTGAGTTTGCTGACCAATGCACCAACCTTGTCCTCTCCCTCCCTCCATTGCAGCGTTGCTAGGTAGCGGGAATACATTTCTGGCCCGAGTCGTGCAAACTTCAACCACATCTGGGATGTGCACTGTACACCATCTGGACTTTTAGGAAATCTTTCGTCCTCTGAAAAGATTATCTCCAGTACAGCCAATTCTCTCAAGCACCGGATACCTTGTTCCATCGTGTTCCACTGTCCTTGCTGTACGTGGAGGTCCTCCTTGCAAAGGTATCTCTCCCTTACACTGGACAACAGTCGCCGCCAGAGGCTGAGAGTTTCCTGCCTCCTTCCAATCCCCTGATCAATGACGACATCTCGAGACAGGGATCCCAGTTGTCTTGCTTCACTTCCATCTAGAATTGTGTCGTTAGCGGCGGCATCCCAGATTCGGAGCAGCCAGGTCAGGATGGACTCGTTCGCCTGTCGTGTGAACTCTCTCCGAAGCTCACGTAGCTCACCCAGGGATAGGGACCGAGTGATTATTTCTGGCTCTGTCTCCTCCGGTGGATGTGAAGGTCCTGCCTCTTCGTCATCATTTGCTATGCGAACTGATTTGGTCTTCGATTTCCTTTTCTGGACAGGGGCGACTGCTATTGGTTTCTGTTGTCCTTCTGGCTCCTCGATGGTTTGTGTGGGCATGGTGCCAGTTGATTTATTTCTTACTCCCTCCGACTCAGCTGTGGTTTGGGTGGACATGGTGCCTGTGGATTTGCTCCTTCTCTCCTCCCCCTGGCAGTGCTGTACCATGTCAAACAGTGCCCGGTAGGCAGTGGCCAGGGCCCAGCAGGTTGCTGTGAGCTGACCATCTCTGGAGCTGCCAGAGAATTTTTCCTTTACCAGTTTTATCATGCTGACAGGATCCTGCAGTTGTTCAGGGGTGAATTTCCAGATCATGGGAGGAGAAAACTTCTCCAAATACTGGCCGATGTCCTCCCACTTCCCGTGCCACTCAGCACTATCCATTCCCAGGACAGGCATCCAAACAGCCTCCCTAGAAGGCCCTGTTCTGACCCTAAGCATGGTGTAAACAGTACAGAGCAGACAAAGCAACACTAACAATAACATTATGCTGTCCTTAACATCAAAGGGGAACTCAATATTTTCAAAAGCTGTTGTAGCAGGTCTGAAGGGGAAGAAGGAGGTGAGAGGCTGGAAACAACCATTCCTCTCCATTGTTCCCCCAAAGGGCTGGGTGCGATTTTTAATGAGGTCCCAGAGGTAGCAACCTAAACCAGGACAGGTAAACAGGACTGAATACACATTTATAATGAAACTCATTGCTTCTGATGTTACGATGACATAAACATAGTATACTAATAAAGCAATTTGGATCCCTCTCCCTGGTCTTAAAGAGAACATTAAAATAGGCAAATAGTTCCCCATCTGCGGAAATATGAACATGCTCAAATACAACACCCACGTGAATGCACCAAACAACATGTTGATCGGGGAGTTTCTATATCCAAATACACAGATGCTTAAAATGAAATTGTGATTCTGACTTCTCTCTCTCTGCCCCACGTTGGGCGCCAAAAATGTGCTGGTTTAAAAGTTAACCAGCAAGGCAAAATGAACTCAATTCAAAAGAGAGATTATAAGTCAGAATAACAATTTATTAAAATAATGCAATAAGTACAATTATACAGACAGACAATTGGTTTTAACCCACAAAACCCAAATGTATAAACCAGCACCCTAGGGTATGAACAAGAGTGGTGTACCTTGGCCCACCCCCGAGTCCAAAGCAAAGGGAGAGGGAATAAACCTGCTGGTGGGAGAGCTGCTGCAGTCTGGTCAGAAGTGGTGATTGCAGTCCAGTCGAGGGTGGTGGTCTCAGTCTAGTTGAAGGCAGTGGTCTGGAGTCTTCCTCTGGATCCCACGAGAGAGTCGCAAGGCTCTGAAACTCCCAGTTATATACTCTCCAGTTCAGGTGGGAGTGCTCAGTCCCTCCCTCAGAGTAGGGAATTCCATAAAAGGGCATGCGGATGCTCAGTCCCTCTTCCATATAAGGGTATCAGAGCGGGGAATTCCATATAAGGATATCAGAGCGGGGAATTCCATAGAAGGGTACAGGAACATCTTCCCACCTTGCAGGCCTCTACTGACAGCAGTTTTTGGGAAATGGCATGGAGGCTATAGAATACACAGTTTTGGGTTACACCCATCCAGGGATGAATTGGTCCCAGCCGTTCTAACCAGGACATAAGCCAAAATTTGGAATCCATAGTCGACACCATCCAGCCATCCCTAGAAACCCTCGCAACTGTGTCTTTGAGGCAGGAGCAGCAATCCTACATATTGCTTCTTTCCTGTCAGAACCCAGCACTCTCTGTCCTTTTGTTATTTCAAAGCCCATATAGTGGACTTTCTCTTTCCCAATCTGAGCCTTCTTTCTGGACACTCGGTATCCTGCCAAGCCTAAAAAGTTGAGCTGGCTTATTGTCACTTCCAAACATTCTTCCTGAGTGTCTGATCCAATCAGTATGTCATCTACATACTGTAATATTGAAAAGGTTTCATACTCACAATGCCACTGTTCCAGGTCCTTTGCAGGATATTACTGAATATCGTAGGACTGTTCTTGAATCCTTGTGGGAGAACAGTCTAACAGAGCTGCATCTTCCATTCTGTAGTTGGATTTTCCCATTTAAAGGCAAAGACAAGTTGACTCTGTTCGTCCACAGGTATACAAAAGAAGGCATGTTTCAAATCTAACAAAGTAAATATTAGTCTCTGGTATTGAGGCAAGAAGGGTATAGGGATTTAGGACTACTGGAAGGACACCTGGGCATTAACTTCCCATAAATCTTGCACCAGTCTATATTCCTATGATTTAGGCTTTTTCGCTGGGAGGATTGGAGTGTTAAATTCTGATTGGCATTCCCTTAATAACCCGAACCCTAAGAAAGACTTTATTAATGGTTCCGATCCTTGTCAGACCTCTAATTTTATAGGGTATGTTTTCTCCTTACTGGTCGGACTTCTGGTTTCAGTTCAATTTTTACCAGACTCATCTTTCTTGCTTGTCCTGGGATTCCTGTTGCCCAAACCAATGGTATAACTGCATCTAAAACTTCATTGGGGATTTTCTCTTCTGCAGGTTTTTCCATGGTAAGTAGGCAGATCTGGACTTTCCATGCATTTTCTGGAGGAATACACAACTGGACAGAGTCATCAGAAAAAGTCAATTGTGCATTTAACTTGCATAGCGAATCCTGTTCAAGCAGTGACAAAGGACAGTCCAGCATATAGAGAAAGTGATTTCCTAATTTTGTGTTTCCAATTGTGAATTCCATTGGTTGTAAAAACGGTCTGAGGGATTTCCTTCCCGTCGCACCAACATTTACTTTTGTTTTTCTTAAAGATCCCTTAGAGCTAGTAACTACAGAATGATTGGCTCCAGTATCCACTAGAAAAATCTATTGTTTCATTCCAAAGCTTAATTAGAACCAGAGGATCAACCAGGGAAATAAGTGATGCCTCCGGTCCCCTTCAATTCAGCCCAATTTCTGCCATAATTCCTGTCTCTTTTAATTCTCCCTTTTCTTCATTTGCAAGTTGGGGGCACTCCTTTTTCCAGTGCCCTTCCTGTCGTGGTTTAACCCCAGCCAGCAGCCAAGCATCACGCAGCTGCTCACTCCCTCCCCCACCAGTGGGATTGGGGAGAGAATTGGAAGGGTAAAAGCTAGAAAACTCATGGGTTGAGATAAAGGCAGTTTAATAGGGAAAGTAAAAACCATGCTCACAAAGCAAAACAAGGAATTAATTCACTGCTTCCCATGGGCAGGCAGGTGTTCAGCCATCCCCAGGAGAGCAGGGCACCATTATGCGTAACAGTTACTCAGGAAGACAAACACCATCACTCCAAACGTCCCCCTCTTCCTCCTCCTTCCTCCCACTTTATATACTGAGCATGATGTCATATGTGTGTGAATTGAATATTTGCAGGTAACCAAAGTGACCACCAAACCACAGCTGTAATGCAAAGAGTAGATTTATTTGATTACCTTGCTAACTGAAGGGTTCCGAGACACCGTCGGGCTGCAGAGACACACAAAATGGGAACGCAGGCACCGTTGGGCTTAGTCCAATCCTAGTAGGGCTACGGGGCTGCTGTTTGCACCCATTTATCAAGGGCCCATGCACACGTGGTTTACCACCATGCTGTGATCTCCTCTGTGCTTTGATCTCTCTCCCAACAGGGAGCTCAAGCACATCTGTGAGAGCACCTCCAAGTCTCTGTAAACACCTATGTCCACCTACACAGAAATTGTACTTCTCAAAACAGACAGAGGATAAACAGCAGTAGGCATAATATATGGTTTCCCAGCTGCAAGGTCACTTTGAGCGAATCTATCATCCTCCAAGCCAAATCTTCCACTTTTAACCCTTTCCTCCCAACAGTATGGAATATTCCCTTGGTCAGTTTGGGTCACCTGTCCCAGCTGTGTTTCCTCCCAACCTCCCATGCACCCCCAAATTCCTTGCCAGCATGGCAGTCATCATCATGGCTAGGCTTCATGAACGAAGATTTGGGAAGGGCTCTACCCGAGTTTGTTACAAGCGCTCTGGTGGCTAAAAAGGCCAATACAAGATAGACACGCCCGGTTGCAAAAGGCACAGCAGAAAGACTCCTTAGGTGGTATATTCTGCAAGACACAATTCTTTCTGCGTTGTCTTTTCTCCTCAAGAGTGATCCCACGTGCTTTCTCAAAAGCATCAGCAGCAATAAAGATAGTGTGTCTCCAGACCTCCTGATTGGAGGCCAGAGTAGACCGGTTATGTTGATCAATATGGCCAAGGTTGAGTTGTTGCTTCAGGGAGTCCTTGTATCTTTTCTTCAGGGCTCCTCTCTTGCGGCAGCCACTGGCAAGTTCACCATAAAGCATGATCTTAGGGAGGTGGTAGTCCTTCATCCTTGAGACGTGTCCTGCCCAACGCAGCTGCGTTCTCAGCAACATGGCCTCAATACTTGTGATTGCTGCTTGTTCTAGAACAGACGTATTAGTCACATAATCTGACCAGTGGATGTTTAGGATTGTACGGAGACAGCATTGATGGAAGCGTTCTAAGAGTCGCAGGTGGTGGCAGTAGATGACCCATGATTCGGATCCATATAAAAGAGTAGACAGTACAATGGCTCTGTAAACACTGATCTTTGTACTTTTCTTCAAGTGTTTATTTCACCAAACTCTTTTATGGAGTCTTCCGAAAGCACTATATGCCTTTGCTAACCTGTTGTCTATCTCTCCATCAATCTTACCATCCGAGGAGATGAGGCTACCTAGGTAATTAAACTGCTGGACTGATTTGAGCTCTGATTCGCCAATGGTGATATGGGGATGATGGAAGACTTCCTGAGGTGCAGGTTGATAGAGAACTTCTGTCTTCTTTAAGCTGACTTTCAGCCCAAAGAGCTCAGCAGCATCTGCAAAGCAGCACGGCAGTACAAGAAACAGAAAAGGCCTTGGCTCTGTGTAAGCCCTGCTCAGCAATAACAAAACCATCTCTATATTATCAACCCTATGTTCAGCACAAATCCAAAATGTCGGGGGAGACCGCAGGTCTGTCAGCAGCCTGGCACTTATCAACGAAGCAATCGACATAGACCAGATTACGGTATACCCCTGAAAGGAGGATGACACGCAGAATGCAGGAAAATGTAAACAACTTTAGGGAATGAAGTGAGAAGAAGGAAGACAGGACTGCAAAAGCAGATATCCTGAACTTTCTGTAAAGTCACCATGAGCTTGCTAGAGCTAAGTCACTATGAGTCTGCAGATGCTGAATCAT